TGTTTCCTTTATAGGATCTTTCATTCTCTGAATCTGCTTTTTCTTAGCTTTCCTGAAGTCATGCCCTTGCTGCCTTTACTCCAGTTGTCAGCTGTGGGTGTTCTCTTCCTGTACCTGCCCAAGCGTAAGGAAGTTCCCAGTGACTTCCAGATCTTGAATGAGAGGAAAGTGACTTGATCACTGCTTTCAGTTCATCATATCTCGCTTTGCAGTTCTATGCAGTCAGGTGAACTACAGACATATGCAGAGCAGGCAATGAGGAAGGATATGGATTAACATGGGAGTTTACTTGTGCTGGGGGGGTAGACAGATGGGAACAGTTCAGTCTGCATTCACTGTGCTGTGCAAGGCATGACACAACTCAGCGAATGGACACTGCAAGGAAAGGTCACAGAGACTGTCTTGACATGGCTTTGCCTTGTACTGGCTTTAAATATGAAAGAATGATTAGCAACACAGACAACTGCATGTTTAGCAAAAGCTAGTGAATATATTAACCTGTATCTTCTGACAAAGTTTAAGTCAATAATACCAACCCGGAGCCTGCCCTTTTCTATGGGGCAGATGCATGTCACAAACTGTGAACATATATCATTGTCCTTCCTTATCAGAAGATGCAGAATATGTGCAAGGGCCTAAGCAAATCCCAGGTGAGCAGACATGGCACAGTCTTAGTTGTAACAGACTGGTGGCATTAAGCATGATTCTGGTCCAGTATATTGGGTGAACAAGCTAAGTGTTCCAAAACATTTTCTGAAAACATGATGGGTGTTGCAAATAAAAGAAACAATCATGGGGTTTAAACACTAACGAATATAACTAAGCAGGTTGATTAAATGGTACAAAGACCAGGTAAAAGGTTATGTGGGTAAGAAATAAGTAGTGACTAGGAAGAGACATATTTAAAGATTAATTCATTTGTGCACATGACATATTAAGGTCACATTATATTTTCGTCTTTACCTTCCATTCATATCTGCATCCATTTATGCCTTTAAAGCAATTGTGCCTTTTCTTACTCTTTTATCTGTCAGACATTTGCACCTCGAATCTGAATGCCTGGTTTGGGCAGTTACAGAGTAGCTACTGCAAGTTTTTTCAGAGCTCTTTTATGCTTCATTTTTTTTTACTTCACATTTTCTGTCCAGGCAGCTGTTGACAGCTCTCTCTCCTAGGAATTTCCATCATTTTTCAGAAGGGGAAAAGATGGTATCTCTTGTTCTTAATGTGTAAAATGGGCTAATTTATAAACCTTATGATAAATCATACTTAAAGTAACAAGATCATGTGTTTTGAGCTTTGAGTTTGGTCTTGGCAGGTTTGCAATATGCTGAGATACTCCTTTAGTGGTCAGGAAGTCACTCTTCTACACCAGGCTTTTAATGGAAAATTATTCAGCAAGCCAAATAGAAATTTCGTACCATATCTCACCACTTTTAATCATTAAGATATTTGGCAGAAAACAGTCACTAGTGGGCCATAGACAGAACTAATAAGACCTTAGAGATGAGTGGTACATAAGAACCTTGCTGCATAATGGCCAAATTTGCTCCATTATCTATCTATCTATCTATCTATCTATCTATCTATCTATCTATCTATCTATCTATCTATCTATCTATCATCTATCTATCTATCCCTCTGTCTCATCTATCCCAGAATCACACAGTCAAAAAATGGGCTGGAAGGGGGCACTGGACATCCTCTAGGCCAACCTCAATTTGAAGTTAGTTATATCTGTGTTTTTCATTGGTGTGATAAATACATTAGTATTTATTAGTATAAGTCACCTTATATTTAGAAATCAAAAAGGCCATGTAGAAAAACACTACAGCAAAATTTTGTCACACCTTCAGATTTTTATTATAAATTGCACTAGTATTTTGTAGTTAAATTATATGAACTTAATAACGTTTCTCAAGCACATCTTCTACATTTTAGCTCTGTAATTAGTGGTTTAGATAATAAATCATTTTTCTATCAGTCTGTTTTGTTTGTTATTGCTAATGAAAATATTGTAACATATATATTGTATGGCTTGGCAAGCATAGGAACTCTGTTACTTTACCTTGTGATTTAAAAGCTGTTCTCTATTTGTGTTGTGTACTAGATGTCACACTAATTATTATCTGCAGACAGGAATGCCAACTCTGTTCTAAATGTAAAGCTTTTATAAAAGCACTGTTCATTAAGTGGTGCAAACTACTGTTATGCTTCAATACGTTGAAGTGTCCTCTTGTTGTCTTGGGGACTCCTTGTAACTATGATTGGAAAACTGAAAATGGAAATTTTCAGAATTAATCAGATCTGGAGGTCACATGAGCCCAGCTCACTGAAATTGGTTTTTATTATGGAGGTGCAGCTTTTTCATGTTCATTTGCTCTCTGACATACCTGTATACCAATAAAAAATTTAAAAAAAATCTTCCAAATTTTCAAACATAGAGATGATTGGTTGGTTTTTTTTCTGAAAATAAGCAAAATTTGACCCACACTCTTCAGTTCAAATAGGAATACCTTCAGCATATGGAGTTTTATATGTGTATTTTCATCCCTTTAAAAAAAAAAAACAAAAGTTTTCAAGCTCTCAGCCTCAGCACTTGTAACTGATCTTTTCAATCAGTAAGAGACTTGAGGCTCTTCTCACTTCAGTTGAGGAAAAGCAAGAAGAATGAGCCATGGGCAGTTTTGTGGACTATGACCGTTATTTCAAAGCTCATCTCTTCAGTTCTGCTGGTAATGTTGGGTCTTTTACTGCAGGTAGACTTTGGATGAAAGGCACAATGAGAGGAAGTAGGCTCTCTGGCATGTTCTGGGGAATACCTTCTGAACCGTATTAATAAGAAGAGTTTCCATAGAACCTGGGATGGTAAAATACAGTGATTTGGCTTTAGTGACCTAATGCTAACCATTTTCCCCTTTTCAGTTTCTTCTAAATCAATACAGAGCAATTAAAGCAATAAATTACAGTGCTTTGAAGAGCAGTACATGTCAGTGCCATGATTCTGCATATCCAAGGCACATATACTTAGAGACAAAAGCCAAAACTGCTAACTTTTGTAAAGGAGCCTTTAATCTTATTTAATTGAAGCAAAATTTGTATTTCACTCGCTCAGAGAAGACTTCAGGAGCAAGACGGTGTGGTAGGTCATTCCTGCGTAGGTGTTTTTATGAAACCAGAGTAAGAGACTTCGCTATTAGCATAGCTAATTAACTAGGAATGAAATGGAAGTAGCAGCCAGTTTGCCCAAGCAATGAGTGTGTGTGGGGTATAGGAAAGACATACCCGCATACATGCTTTCGCAGAGCTCAAAGAAAAAGCTGCAACTCACAGTTTCAGAAGATTCATACCATGCTTTCTTCATTTTGAAACTTAGGTTCCAAGTCAAACTATTACTTAGTCAAAAGGTTTATTATTGTTGGGGTTTTGGTAAGGAAGAACACAAAAATAGCAGCATGCATGGATTATGCGTCTTCAGATGCTTGGTTTTATGTAACTGGGAAAACTGACAGGTTTATGTAGGATATGTTCTAGTAAAAATAATGGTCTTGAAGCTAGGCCATCTATTTTTGATAGAAGTAAGAAACAGGCAAAGTGTTATTCAAACTGAACTCTTGTGAGACCACAGAGATATCTGTGTAACTGAATTAATTTTCACTCTATCCAGACTTGTCTCTTAGGATTTTAGCTGAGATTCACAGCAAAATTAGAAGTTTCTAAATGCTGTAACAATATAATATAGGTAATTTACAGCATTTATAGACTATTAAAAGTAGAGGAACCAGACGACCTGTCTCATGAAACATCCAGTGCAGATGTTTTATTTCAATCTGTTACTAATGGCAGGGCTCACAAGCATTTGTGTCCTTATCCAAACCTGACCAGTAATGATTTGCTGATCACTACAGTAGGGTGATGCCACCAGTCACCCATTCTAGTTACAGTATATTAATACTGTGCAAAAAATATCTGTGAAAAGGGACTACTTTACTATTATACTACCTTTGACTGTAGTTTTTACAGAAAAAAATCAACAAGGCAAAAGCAGTGTATGAATAGCAAAGGGATTACACAATATTTCTGAAGCTGGTCTAGAGCAGTGCTGGCATTACAGGCGTCTAATATGGAACTGCATGTTGCTGGTTAACACTCAAACACTTCCAGCCATCATCAACCCAGACTGCAAGGCAAGAGGGAAAGGCACCAGCTCTACTTATAGCTGGATGTGGGTTTTTTTTCTGGAAGGGCAGTTTTTTTAAGGTGGATATAAAATCACTTCAATTGTCATAACCACAACAAAGCACAGCAAACTGTCCAGTGGAAACTGAAATCAGAGGAATGCTGCGTGCAGATGAGTTAGTTCTAAGAGGTAGTTTAAGATGATCTTGACCCCTTACTCCTCTCTTCCTTTTCTCATTTTTCTCCTAACAGAGAAATGCGTCATTTGTTGTAATTATATTAGACCCTCAGAAATGACTCATCGTATTATGGGCACCAGCAGAATGAACTATCATGAACAGAGGTTATTTTTAAGCCCAAAATATATTGTTATATCTGAGTTATAAACCTTTGAAATGAAACTGTTGTCTTAAAAAGCTTGTAGCACCAGTATTTGCCTCTATAACAAGAACCAGAGCCACAAATAAAATGCTTGTTATTCTAAGTAATGTCAAACTTCTGTAATATCAATTTGAAAAGCAAGCAAGACATTATTAGACATTGTCTTAAAGTTTGTCAATTGAAAAACTGAAACACCATGAATGCAAAGGTTTCTGATTTGGAATAAAATAAGTGTGTAAAATTAAAACCAAATTTATCATGTACAGCGACAGTATCTGAAAGAGTCTGAATGCCTCTGTGTGTACATGTGTACTTGTATAAGCATGTATTTTCTTTACATAGATACTCACACATACAGAAGATACTGTAGTACTTCAAATGTCCTTCCTTTTTCATCTATAAAACTAATTGTAAATTATTTCTTTTTGTTCTTCTCGCAGCTGAATTTTTATTCCTCTTGTGGGGTGTTTATCTCTGCTATGCAGTGCGGACAGTCCCATCAGCATTTCATGAGCCACGTTATATGGCTGTTGCAGTTCACAATGAGCTCATTATCTCTGCTATATTCCATACAATTAGGCAAGTGATCTGTAGATCTAGTAATTAACTATTTATCTTTCAGGTTTCATATGGTGCAACTTAAAATGGGTGAATGGGTTAGGTTGCATAACGGAAGGTGTTATAAATATTTAATTCTGCAGATTAAGTGATGACTAAACTTAAAAGTGATCCCATACGATTCAAGAATATGTGCAATCAACCTGTTAATTGTATAATTAGGTTTTTTTTCAGTATAACTAGCTGTTATGATCTTGTCTCAAAGTTCAGCATATATGGTAAATTAGATAAAGCAAAACTGCTGTCTGTCTTCAGTCACCTACATACTGCTCACTGGTTTGTATCCCTAGAACAGCAGGTAAGAATGTTGGTTTATGTGAACTTTTCCTGGTGTGTAAAATTGGTAAGGTGCAGATGTATTTTAATTGTATTGGTTTGTGCATGAAGCATAGTGCTTTATATGCCGATATAAAAAATAGGTATGCATACAATTCTATAACAAATATAAAGCATGCGTGTCTTGTAAAGATTATAATGAGCTCTATATTTCACACTTGTAAATTATTACAGTAGCAACAAACAAATAAGGGTCTTTGCCGGAGCTACATGAAAATTACTATATATGCCTTTCCTACAGAGCACCCTGCAAAAAAGAATTCATCCTAGAATGCTCAAAATAGTAAGATAACATGAATTTCATCTCATCCTGTAAGAGATCCTACTGAATTTCTGTGACATTCTCACACTTTCCTTTGCCTCCTGACAGACCTTATCTACTAAGATCTTCTGGGTTTTTTTTTATTAATTGCTCCGCTGACAGTCTTCAAACACTTCTCTGTTCCTTGGTCTGTCTTGGAACTCACATTTTTCTCTGCCTTCTTGATATTTGCTTCCATGAGGCATATTTTTTTTCTGAGTAAACAGCAGCAAAGCAAATTTTTCATCTCTATTCCTTCCAGGTGCTCTTTTCCCTTATCATTGTTACGAAGTTCACTGCACCTTTCAGGCTTGCAACTTTTTGTTTCCTTCAGCTTCTCTTCACCCCACATCTCAACATCCACACACTCTCAAAATCTTCTTCACTCCACAACTAACACAAACATCTTCAAAAATAGTGTTTAAAATCTGTATTCAGTAGAAGCATTTTCCTTTTCATTCCTGGTAGATAGGTAGGAAATTCAGTTACAACACTTTTGTATTGATGATAGCCGATATGAAAGTTTCTCAGTCAAAATTTTCACCCATTAATTAATGTTCCTAAACCTTATTTTGGGACATGTTAGAAGATACAGTTCAGTGCATTCAAAGGGCTATTATGTGGGTTGAAAGTTTCTTTTAACAGTAGGACCAGATGAAAGTAATTGTGGATTAAAGAGAGGGGAAAAGGGGAAAATGTGGCATTTTAATACATGCCTTATGAAGGAGACACAAAAGGATTAGGTCTCTCAGTTTGTCCTCTCAAGAATGCTTCAGCCAAAGGTCTGCTGATCTTGTTCTTTAAAAAAATAAAAAAGTACATTTTGTATTGATTCTTTGCCCTCTGTCTGATACATGGCAGTTTGTTGAAGAAATATCATATACTGTTTATGGATAGGAATGAATAAAATGCATGGGAAGTACATGATTCCTCCTAAAATTGTGTCCATTTCTGTATACGCCAGTCTTAATCCAGTCTCTTTGAAGTTCACTTTTTATTTTTGTTTGCTTTTTTGCCTTTGTCTTCCCCCACCAAGTTTTGGATGTAAACTGAAAGGGCGGAAACGTAAGACTCAGATTTATGTGACATATCTGAGTTGTTGTGAAGTTGAAAGCAGTGGAGCCCTGAAGGACACCTACTATATTACAAGGCAGCCATCCAGTCTGAAAACTCACAAAGCTCATATAAGATTCATGTAAGCGCTAAATAAAACCTTGAACTGTTTGCATTTTGTTTTCCTTTAAAAGTATTATTCCAATTTCAGAAACAGAGGATTCTTGATTATCTTCAGATCAGCATAGCAGTAAATTCCTGCATTACTCTTTCTCTTGTATTACTGAGGACAGCAAAATTTGTATGGAAAACATCTCATTTAAATAGAAATCCCATCTCTGCTAGGTCTGAAGGGCTACTACAAATGCTGGGTGTTTTTTAGGGGTATGGCATGGATGCCTTAGTCAAGGTTTCACACATAGAACAAGCGAAAAGCCTTCACAGTATTTGAGGATTGGAGATGTTAAGGGTTAACCAAATCTGGTGGCCATCAGGACCTGGGAGCTTGCTCCCCTCTGTCTCGCTGCCTGATGGACTTGGCTGCTGTTGTTTCCTAGCTAGACGGAGAACATCCACTGGTGCAGTCATGCGCAATGCATGGCTGGCCACATGGACCACGTACATCCTGCTTCTGTTCCTCCTCTGCAGCTGATCACGTTCCCTGATGAACCACGCACCTGTGTAGGTTCACAGTCACACTACGTTCACAGTTCCTTCAAATATGAGCACAGTTCTTAAGCCAATCTGATATCCATCTTCAGGTCTGGGGCCCTGTAGCCTGTCATGGGCTGAGACCTTGGATCTACCCGATGTGGGTCTCCTGTGTGTTGTCTAGTCCAGCCTGAAGTTTGGTCATGAGTTGAACGTACACACATGCACAGCATAGCAAGTGAGATCACACAGACATTAGGAGAAGGATTTAATGAGAAGATAGGAGATAGTGCAGTGATCTGGTGCAGGGCTCAGTCAGTGACAACTTGCTTTCATGTCACTAGCCCTTTTTATCCCCACTTCTTTCCATGCTTGTACTTCCCCCACCTACCTTAGACTCTCTCTGTCTCTGTCCTTGAATTCTCCCAAATAAACAACTTTTACTATTTGTCCCAGTTTTGCTACATCTGTACTCAAATTTGGTATTTATGATATCTTTACCTAGGTGATCACAGCCTTACATGCTGTTACTGATATGGTTCCATCGGTATCACTGACCTTGCAAGTTCTCCTCCCCCAAGAGTCCCCCGTGCTCCCTTCAGTTACCTGTAAAGTTTGCTTCAAATGGCTCCTCATTAACCACCTATGAAATTTTGGCATCCACCATCAGGACTGTCTGCAAGTTTTGTTCACTTTTCGCTCTGTTGTTTGCTGCATCCAGCAGTTTCTCATGTCATCTTCAATAGTTCCCATGTTGTGTTCAGTTAGCTAAACCTCAGGTCTGAGCATCTTCATATCCCTGCACCCCTCAATAGCAACATCTCTGCAAGAAATAATTGCAATATTTTATTCTGTTCATGAAGCATTTCATTTACAAAGTATTAAACAAGAAATGATGACTGTATTATTATGGCATATAAACAAGTGTTTCATGCCAGACTATTTCTGTTAACAAAAGCTTCTGCAAAATACGCATCTGTGGACTTGGATAAGTTGCAAATGTCATTTCTGTCTGAATGATTTTTGTAAACTTGCAAATTACAAGCCAGTGGTACATCCACTCATCCATTGCATTGCTTACCATTTCTATCTTTGGGAACTCAGTAAGGCAGATAAGCCAAGCATGTTCCAGCTAGCTTTAACTGCACTGCTTGTTCTACTGCTCTTTGAGAAAGCTCAGCAAGGAATTGCTTAGTTTGGGAGGTTCAGCCACTCATTTCCTAGCATTTGCAAGGCTCTTGGCCCTGCAGCATTGGGCTGGGTGATCCTGCGATCGAGACCATTTCTTTGCTCCCTGCTAAAAAGCATTTCAGTTTGCTTCTCTCTTTGATGGCTTATCAGCCGCACTCTGTAGCTGCAATCTGTGAGCATCCTGTATTTATGAAGTACACTGTAATTTATCATAGTACATGTGCTTACTTAACCTAAAATCACCTGTTGAGAACCTTAACGTATATAAGCTGCCATAACTCAGTTCAGGCCAAAGAAGCTGTGACAGTATAGACCATCGAAAAAGTCAGCTAAGTAGGGTGAAGAAGGTGAAATAAACAATATAATTTAAGGTCTGTTGTTTCTTTTGTACTCTATTTGGGCTTGTTTTGTTGATTGGAGGTTTTTTTTCCTGAGTTGTTTTCAGATTGTGGTATATAGGTAAAGCATAAGGATGTCATTTTTAGTCTGTATGAAAGCAGAATAAAACCAGTTGTGTCTGGCCTTTCAATTAAAAGAAACCTAAGGAACATTAAAAATTTTAAATCTAATGCACTGGAGAAAAGGCAGTGAATTGCAGCCTTGAATTCTATTTTCAGATTCATTCTTGCTTCGAGACTTCAGTCTGACTGGATGCTGATGCTGTTCTTTGCACACACGCACTTGACTGTGACAGTCACTGTTGGGCTACTTCTGATCCCTAAGGTATTTGAGTCTCCTGTTTTTTTTCTTTTCCCAAGACTGAGGCAGATAGATGTTCTTCAGAAGCAATTCTGTATAAAATAGCAACTGATAGAATAGGAAGATAAAAGATTTGTCTGTATTGCCTAAAACGCTATTTTTTTTTTATTTTATTTTAAAAAACTCTTACACGTTTTCAAAGATTATTACTTTCAGCTTTCAAAATTCCAGGAGTTTAAAGTACTTAAAATTTTGATGTGATTAATACAAGGAGGAAAGAATCCCGCCTTGCCTAATGATGGTTATTTTCAGGTATTTGGTTCAACTTGTACAATTTTCAGATTAATGAAGCCACTGTTCCCATCTTTTGCCTATGTGTCAGAATAGGGTATGCTGACAACTGTCAAATGTACATCCAGTAAACAGTCATAGTAAGAGGACACATCGATTGAGCCTTGATACTGAATAACCTTATTTTAAATTATTTGTCTGGTCTTTAGAATGTTCTTATTATTTTCTATTTTACATCCATGTACTTTATTTCATACACTAACCTAAAAAATGTGTTGACCTTTCTGAAGTTGACTCATAACTAAGGATCCAGCATTTCCATTTTTAGTTTATTATCTGTGTAACACTGCACAAACTTTTTTTCCAGCACACCAATTAATGCAGGGAATTAAGAGAAGATTCACAAGGTTTAGTTCCATTCATAAAGTCCTGAAGTCAGATGACTGTGTGGACAATAGTAACTACAGATGAGTGAATCACTATGAATAAAAAAAAATAGCTGACTGTCTCTCTCCACTCTTGATCCACACATTTGCTAAAACTTAGAAGAGAGAAATTACCTTGTCTGCTTTTTTTATTTGTTTCCTGCTGCTTTTATTTTTTTTTCCTTTCTCTTTTTATTTTTTCCTTTCCATTTTTGCCACCTCATATCTTCCTTCTCAAGGTCAGGATCTAAAATGGGAGAATTGCTTTCTGCAGGATTATAAAACTGTATGGATTATAAAATCTAGTCTTAATGGCTTTAGTAGCCTAATTGGAAATACTGGCTGAAAGTCTATTTCCATACCAGCTTGATTTAAATGCAGTTTTAAAGAGGTTCAAATAAGCACCAAATTAACTGCTCAGGGAGAGGGTTTTCTTGTTAAAATCTCTAAGATTTATCAAGTTAAGCAATTATTAATAAGAGTTTATTCCATACAATACTGATATTCTATACTACATATGCCAATGATGTCTATAGCTAGTGATTTGAGTTCAGAACTTCTTATGAATTCCATAGAAGGATCATTGTGCAATAAAAACTGTTGATGTGAACTCCTACAGTAATGCTGAAGTAAACTTTTGAACTGATGGCAGTGTCTTTTTTATGCAGTTTTCACATTCAAGCAATAACCCAAGAGATGATATAGCTACAGAAGCTTATGAAGATGAGCTTGACATGGGTCGATCTGGATCCTATCTGAACAGCAGTATCAATTCAGCATGGAGTGAACATAGTTTGGATCCTGAAGATATTCGGGTAGATACAATTAATTTAAATAGAATTTATTTTCAAGAACAACGCTTTTTCCTATGAGTAAATTCTGAATTGCATCAATTTGAATTTTTGTGCAGGTATCAGCTGAAATAGGCCAGCTTAGGTCTCTCAGTGACTGTGGTATCAGGTCATGTAAAATCTCATGGAAAATATTCACTAGTGTGAAGAGACACTGCGTCACTAGTTGTAGTAAAAGTCATACTGGAGGCTAAAGAGGAGGAATCGTCCGCAGCAAGAGCTGTTTATCAGTTTACATAGCCTCTTTGAATTGTCTTGAAGTACAAGCAATATGTGGTGTCAGTGTGACCAGTCATTTGTATATAACATATCTGTAACTATACATAACTATATAGATAAAATTTAAAAAAAACACATGATTAACAGAAAAAAAAAAAAACACTTTATTCCTACATTACATGATAAAAGGGCTGATGTTCCCAGAATAAAGAACAGCTGTGAGTTCAGCAGGAAAGCATACACACAGCCCTGTGAAATCTGAAACATACAGCATAAATGTATATGAATTGCGCATGCTTTATGATGCACAGCTGTGGAAGGTTACACATTTGTGTGTAAGGGTTGAACTTAAAATTGGGATTCAAGTTGATGGAGAAATGGCGTATTCAAGAATTAGACAAGTCAGGAATAAGTTCAATGCCATTTTTAGAGCAGTAGGCGATGCATTCATCAGGCTGCTTGTTTGACTGTACTTGCTCTGTTCTTGCTAGTTTTTCCATTCACTTTGCTTTGCAGGATGAATTGAAGAAACTATATGCCCAGCTTGAAATCTATAAAAGGAAAAAGATGATTGCTAATAACCCACATCTCCAGAAGAAAAGGTGCTCTAAAAAGGGGTTGGGGCGCTCAATAATGCGACGTATTACAGAAATCCCTGAGACGGTCACCAGGCAGTGCTCCAGGGATGAGAAGGACCTGATGGAGCATAGTGTTGTGAAGAACGTGGCTACGCTGAAGAAAAACCCACCAGACTCCACAAGTTCTGCAAAGCCAAAAGAGGAGACTTTGAAAAATAGGGTCTTTTCCTTAAAAAAGTCCCACAGCACTTACGATCATGTTAGGGATCAAACAGAAGAACCAAATAGCTTAACTACAGAAAGCACTGAAGTTATAGCTGCTGAGAATTCACTACTGGACTCACTGAATGATAACAAGTTAACCAAAAATGCTCCTGAAAAGGTTGAAGCTGTCTCCACTGAATCGGTCCCTTTGGTGTGCAAATCAGTAAGTGCACATAATTTAAGTGCCGATAAGAAGCCTCTGCATCCAAGAACATCTGTGTTACAAAAATCCCTCAGTGTTATTGCTAGTGCCAAGGAAAAGACTCTGGGACTAACAGGTAAAACACAAAGTCTGGAAGAAAGCACTAAGTCTCATAAACCTCAGCCAAAGGGTAAGGAGGCTGGCAAAAAGCACTCGGTCTCCGATAAAGGTGAGCATAAGGATTCCCACCAGAAGAACTCTACCCACTCTGAGGAAGCAAAGAAAGCCCATAAATCTTCAATTATGAAGCAGCAAAGGGTTAGTCAGACGCCTGCAAATCCAGACACAGGCCCAGGTAAGTCTCTACACAAGGACAATTTCGACATAGGAGAAGTCTGTCCTTGGGAGATATATGACCAAACTCCTGGTCCTGTGCCTTCTGACTCTAAAGTTCAAAAACACGTGTCTATTGCTTCCTCAGAGCCAGAGAAAAACCACCCTTCTCAGCCAAAGGGGAAGACTCATCGTAAGCTGAAGACACCTGAGGGGTATCAGCAGTCAAATCAAATATGTTCAGAGAAGGTGGAGGAAGCCGCTCAGGAGACACAAGAGCAAAATGACAAAACCCAGTCAAATTCCAAGTCTCCAGTTTCCCCTGGGCTGAAGCATGAGAATGTTAATAGATATACACCTAATACCTGTGCTGGGGAGCTGGAAGAGCTACCCCAGAGAGCAGCAGAAAAAGAAAACCTCAATAAATTGGCAGAACAGAAAAAAAATGCCTCTTCCGAGGGAAATGTGCTTTCGTCTGACTCCCTTAAGCCAAGTAGTTACTTCCAGCAACCTTTAGCATCTCGAGCTGAAGTCTGCCCTTGGGAGTATGATACACAAGATTTACCAAATGCAGGAAGAAGTGTAGCTTTATCGAACACCTCTGCTATAAGTGCAAATAAAACAGCAACACCTCGAAAATAAGAGGCTTTTGGACTGAGGAGAGTAGCAACATTAAGAAGAAAACAGGAAAGACAGAGGGGACTTAGGCCAAAAGGATCTGAAAATTCCTAAGGAGCATCACTTAAATCAAGGGAATCAGCACTACAAAGGAGTTAAGCAAAGTAAATTATCATTAATGTTGTTATTGTTTAGTTCTTGAGTGCCAACAATGTGACTAGCAGTGTCCAGAATATGGTCCCTGCTCCAAGGATTTTACTGTGTCAATGAAAGAAACCTGCCTTTGTGAAATCACTTCTCTTTTAAAAGAAAAACATGCAGTGGTAACAAATGCACAGTACAGATCTCAACTGAATTATTTCTGAATGCCAGAACTGGCTTTAACTTGCCCTTGGGACTTTAAAGATCCAGCAGAAGTAGGGAACACAAAATGTCCTGATGGCAAAAAGGGGTATCAATGAGCAGCTTATTAAAATGGCGAATTTTCACTTTACATATTTAATCTAGATAGCACCGCTAACTCAATGCATCCCCAAACACATTTTATATAATGATTGCTCTCATTTTCTTATTACTGTGTGTTTAAGTACATTGTTGTGTCTCATATTAAAGCATTCCAGATTGTATAATTTTTTGCAAATAACTTTGATATTATGTGACACAACAGCGCATTTATGCAATCTGCAGATACTTTCTTCTAATTGCAAGTTAAAATACCTGCTGTAGACTTTTTGTTTAGATATAGAATTGCAGTAATCTTTCACTGGCTATGGAAGCCATAATTCATATCGGGCTTTGGAGATTATTTTTTTTTCTTTCCTGTGATTTATATAGTGATTTTGTCTTTTTTTGTTTACTCTCTGTTATTTATAGTTTGATACAGTATTATTCAGGGGTTTTATACACAGTAAGTTACTTGTTTATGCATTTCCCTGTTAATGCTCATAGACTTTGTTTATAGTGGAAATTCAGTCGTCTTAGCTGCTTATTCTTAGGACAACTTATCTGTTGTTTGTTACTAATTGGAAGCTATCATCTAACAAACCAGAAATCTTGCTTAAATATCAGTGGTGATACTGAGTATATCCCACTATTAAAATAAGCAAGAATGACAATGAAAATATACCCCAGAAATGATTACCTATTTTACTAAAACCAGATAACCCTGGGAAATATATTAGCTAGTTCATATAAAACAACAGTGTACTGTTTATCTCTGTTGGCAAACCTCAAAGAATTGGCCCATGGAGTGAGGAGAGAAGTCCAAAATATTACTCTTCCCCCATGTATGCAATTGTAAGAGACAGTGGGAAGGGAAATGATGGCATCTCTCTCCCACTCTCCAAAATGCTTTGATTTTATTTATTTATTCACTTATTTGTTTATTTACGCATACTTTTGCAGTAAACCTTAGTGCTTAATACAGTGCTAATTTTCAGTAATAACTACAGTCCTCATTGTGCATATGAGCTTAATTCACAGATGGCCCATTCACAACTTGGTGATGGTACAGCATCAGGGCCTGAGGACGTATTGTAAAGGATCTGAGGAGTATCACTAATACTAAAAAACCCTCAGCTATCTAAATGCAGTGCCAGTAAAGTGCTGTTCACTAGAATTGGCTATCTATACAGTACTCCAAAACAAAGACAGCTCAGTCCTAAAGAACTTGTGCAATTTGAGAGAAGTGATGGGGTTCATTGGAAGAACATGAAATGAGGATGATTGAATAGAATGTGTTGTTTAATATATATAATATATATATAAAATAGATATTTATATATGTTTAATATATATAAAATGTCTTATCTAATACACTCATGCACCTACATGTATGTAGTATAAACTGATTTTTGTGGCATCATAGAAAAAGTGGCTTAAGATGAAATGAAATGAGCACAGGGACTTAAGCTGGGCATGAGTAGGACTTTCTTTGTCCTTACCAGTAGTCTATGGGTATGTCTACACTGATAGATCAAGATGGATCTTCCTACTGCCTCTGCTAAGCTGAAACTGAGAACATGCCAACACCTGAGCCAGCTGTGGTCAAGCTGGCTCAGGTCATTGGCTCAGGTCTCAGTGCTGTCTACATACATTGGCCTCAATCGTAAATTCTGCTCATTAGCTTCAGATTAAAGTGGCCAAACTGCCCAACTAACCTAGTTAGCCTGAATGGTGCTCAGTTCCACCATGGGGACACGCTAACTTAGATCTTTGCTACCCTGGGCCTGTCTGACTCTCCCACCCCTCTTTTGTAGGGTGTAGTTATGGCCTAGAATATCTGGTCTTTGCCTTTAATACACATCTTCCAACTGGGACCCCTTCAACCCCTCTTCACCTGTAAAAGAGTGTCAGGCATACGAGTCTGCTTTGGACGTTTGTGCACCCACTTTCCATACACAGTGCCAGTGGCATCCTACATGCAGACCAAATCTAGCTTTCTGCTTAGTGTGGAAAATAGCTGAGGTTAGACTTGGTGTGCCCAGATTCTCCCATCCCACTCCCAGAAACTCATGGGATTTGTTGGTAACCTTTTCATCAACTTCAGTGGGATTTGATCAGTGCTTCAGAGAGAAAGTAACCCTAAGTTTTGCTGCAAGGGAAAAGTTCCAGCCTGGGAATGCAGCTTTCTGTGAGTCCTCCAGGAGAGCACACTGACCCTGTGTGCAGAGAGAGGCACAACTTTCAACCTGCTGAGTATGGTGACCACCTTGCACCTCTGCTACCCCTCAAGGAAGGTTCTGCAGCCTATCTCAGCAGTGGTTTGTGTAAACAGGGAGCGGGGGGCCACTTATAGCAGGTTGCCCTGACTCACTAACTGAGTCAGCACTTTGTCACAGCCAGGTGCTGAGGTTAAAAGTGGGAGTCCGTAGGAGAGTCAGGAAAGGAGATGTTTGTACGTACTCACAAGAGCAGTTGCCAGCCCTGGCACCCGCACTCATCTTGCCCTCCATCCTTTACCTTGGTGCTGAGTGAGGACACACTGCCTCTGCTTTGCTCAGCAGCAGCTGTGTTGGGGTGCATTGTGCACCAGGGGTGAGGGGAGCCACATCAACAAGGTGTCCACACAGCACCACTGCCCCTGGTATGTGGCATCGCTGGCAGGATCAAGCCCTTCATGCATGACTGCACCTGTGCCACTGCTGTCCATCTACAATCCTTTGGTCGTTTTCTTTTATTTTTTCTTTTTTCTTTTTTTTTTTTTAAGAAAAAAAAAAAGATAACTTCATTAGAAACACAGAAACAAAGTCCATTCCTTGGCTAGTGTAAAACACCCCAGCTGTGTGGCAAGCAAAAGGATGATGGCTGATTTACCAGGGAAGACATTGGCTTGTATATTCTTGTTTAGTTTTCTTTTCCTTCATCCTGACCCTTTCTCTCACTTCTTAAGAAATGTCTGGTATGGTTCTTTAGGCTTGTTGTAGTCACATCTCCTAAGACTGATGCAGTTGGAGAACTTCCCTTTAGAAAGCAACAAAGCTTTCCCCAGTTTATTTAGCAACTGTTATATGGGCTACAAATTCAATTGGGATTTTAATTCACACTTAAGAAAGTGAGGGGCCAAACTTCACTCAACAATTCTATTTCACTATGATGCTGCTAGAAACATTGCTTAATGAAGGCATTCTAAGTTAGACATAAACAATGTTCTGTATTTCATAGTTTTTTCTCCACCAGCATATATTGGCTAGATTGCTTAGCTGTCTTTTTCTGGAGTTTCATTGTCATTATTCAGCCAAGAGATGTGCAACTCTAGAATTAAGATGTTTTCTAGCAGATCTGTTAAGAGAAAAGGTAATAAACACTAAGGTCACAAACATTTGCTAGGTTGTCCTTTTAAATGCATGTGCAAGCTGCATTTCTCCTTTATTTCTAAGCCATGGTTTATAAATAATTAGATTTCTACCAGTCTTATTAGACTTGTATAATTTATGCAAGATTATATGCTTTAAAATATAAATCAGTATACACCTATCATCAGCTTTGGTGGCATCATAGACCTGAAACCGGACAATACTTTTATATTTGCTCTCCTTAGGCTTTTGCATGCATATGACAACAGGCAGGCCTGAGAAAACACTGCCTTTTGACTTTTAACATTTTAGCTACTCCAAGTTGTAGACTATATAAAGCTGTAAGTCTCTTCACTTTATAATGTGGTTCTTATAGCAATGCTATCTGACAACCAACAGCATCCACCATGAAATACTTGATAGATTTATGTTGTAATGTGTTGCAGCATGTAAATAATGTAACTTCTCTGCAATAAAGCACATTTATATGAAACCTGTCTGCAGGCTTTTGTGTTGTCACTTTCTGAAGTCATTACTGATCCAAAATGAACAGTTTTCTCATCAATCTTATAAAATAACTAACAGCGAGGTTTAAAGTTTATATGATCTGATCATGTCATTAGCGTTTTGCAGATTTTCCTCCAATTTTCTTGACATCAACCTGTACACTAGGTGTGTACTGTGTTCAGGATTGTAGGTTAGGGAAATAGCTCTACTCGGTGGCTGCAATTTTGAGTTAAAAATTATAGGGTCCTTGCTATATTCCCATATATATTTAATGACAAATAGAATGTTGGAAAATATTAGGAAATAAAAAAAATTGCATTTTATGATGTTAGCATAAAAGCCTATAGCTCTTCTGTACTACATACATCCATGCTTTGATTCCTCATCTAAAATATATGTCTAACAGATACAGAAAAGGTACAAAGAATTGTAGTAAAGATAATCAGAGACAGAGAATGGCTGCTGTGTAAGAGGTGGCTAAATCAACTCCAACTTCCTTAGCTTGGGGGAGAGATGACTGAGATAGGAATGAGAGCTATACAAAATTACAAATGGTCCAAATGTAATGAGGGAACTCGTATATGCTGGGTTTTGTCATGGGGAACTACAGAACACCCAGGGCAGCAGCTTAAAACAAATGAAGTTTTCTTCTACATATGGCATAAAATATATCGCAGAGTTTGTTTTCAGACTGTTGTGGATATCAGGAGTTTAAAAAGCACTGGGAGGTCATGAAAGAGAATCAAGGTCCCCAAACATGGTGGATACAAAACTCTTGAATCGCTATTTTGTAGAAGGCTAGTAATTAGGAAGATTGTCTTTTATAATCATCCAGTTTTCTTTCCATAATCACCTGGTAGGCATCTACCACCTCTCAGGGCAACCTGTTCCAGTATTTTACCACCCTCATGAGTTCAAGAAAGCATTGGATCCCCCAGGCAGCTTTGATTCCTGCCTAAGAGTACAGGACATGTAACCAATTATACAACATGGAACTATGGGCAAATCTTGCAGAGAAGTTATTTCATTGACCACTTTTTTTTTTTTCTTGATAATACAGTATTTCTGACAGGTTGGAGCACACTTTTCCTCATTCTAAAGCAGCTTTTTTCACTAACAGGGAAATCAGCTTTAGCAATGCTAGAAATTCAGTAAAAGATCCTGATTGTTTAACTTAGTTTGGCAGGCTGCCATCATGTTTCAATATTTGATCTTCTGGTCCTTTAATACTTGGAAATTTCAACATTATCTCTCAATTTGTGCAGGGGATTTTTCTTTTTTTAGTCGCTAAAAGTGTACAAACAAACATTGAACATTTTACCATCAAATTACTGGATTTTAGATTTCTGGGTATATGGGTTGGGTCCAATTTTTCATTGTGTCAAAGCATGGAAAAACATTACATTATACTCAAAATAGCCATGTATTTTTTGAAATGTGCATCTATGATCTCTGTATAATACAGATCCACATATTTTACATATGAGTGTACAGAACCATTATTTCATCTTTGTAGCTGCAGAAGGCAAGGATTTCCAGTACATGGGTAGCAGCCTTTAGAAGCAATTAAAAGAGAAGATTGCTGAGCCTGCCCACTGGAAGCCTTCTAATGAAATTCAGATGTCTTTCAGGTCTGCCAGCCTAAAATGTGTGCTGACTTGCCTGTTTTCCTCTTTGCATTGGTGATATGTTCTGAGGCAGAGCAAAAGCAGGCACCTTTCCAGTCCCACCGTGGCATGGGATATTATACACATGAGAGTGACTGTTCGCTCTCCTGCTTGCTGTTGGACTGCTGTGCTCTTACTTCATGATAAGGAAACATGGAGTAGACTTAAAAACTGGTACTTTATTGATCTGCTTGGTACCCATAACGGTGGCTTTCTGTCATACCTTCTCCTTTGCTGCTGCACTAACATTAACAAGAGCATTGGCAATGAGGTGGGTTTAGATGTTGCAGGGTAAGTTTTGGAGGCTGCCTGCATCTGTTTGGAGTTACATTATTAGCTGTACTGCTTTGACAGATGATGTCGACAGGGATTTTAGACTGGCTACAGTACTACAGATGAAAACCAGGTTGATTTGACATACTTAAGTGCTAACAATAGTATCATGTAATGATGTCCTTGTTGCATGAAGATTTTTTTGAAGCTGCAGGGTAGTAAGAACCATGTGGTTCCAAGCAGTCATCTTCAAGATGTCACCGAGGGAAAATCACAGCAGCACTGGAGAAGACACCTGTCCAGCTCTGCTCCCACATCACGTTTTATGAGGTACTTGACTAATGCACATGATTTGTGTAAGCTACCAAAACTGGCTGGTGCTCCTCTGTATGCAGTGCATTTTAATAGTTATGTTTATATTCATTTTTATGCTTTGTTTTATAGTATTTCAATTTCCCTTTGTTGATAACAGCTTTGTTATCTCTGTGGTGACTTATTTCCATTGTTTTGCAGAAACTTCCTAGAGAACTTTGGTTTGCATCTCAGCTGCTTCATTGCAAGGCCAGCATTTCCCTCACAAATTTCTTTGTGTTTGAAGTCAGAAGGTGGTAGTTTCACAGTTTATGGAATTTTCCTTAAGAAATAGTTAAATATTTTAAAACAAATCTTCAACAACTTTTATTCTGATTAATTATATATTCTGTTTTAATGACCAAGAAAATTCAGTAGGCAAGAAATGATGCATTTGTTACTTTCTAAGTGCTAGCTAGACGTACTTTTGCTTCTTAGATTTATGAGTACTTGTAGATTGCAGTTGTGCACTGCATGACATTTCCATTCAACTGTTCGTTGTCTACATTATAACTGGAATTGCAAAACTGTATCACAAAAATAGACCGCCTAGGGAGGGTTTGGGAGTTTTGGATTTACCACCTCATCCATGTATGACAAGTGTTTTTACACACAGGTTTATGTGTAGAACTATTTGCTAAACCACCTACTTTAATGGTTTATGCATTACTTTATAAATTTATATATTGCTGTTAATTCCTTGGAACAACTTTGTAATTCAATGTAGAATCACAGAATCATAGAATCGTTAGGGTTGGAAAGGACCTTAAGATCATCCAGTTCCAACCCCCCGCCATGGGCAGGGACACCTCACGCTAAATCATATCACCCAAGGCCTCGTCCAACCTGGTCTTGAACACTGCCAGGGATGGAGCATTCACAACTTCCCTGGGCAACCCATTCCAGTGCCTCACCACCCTAATGGACTAGTAGATAATAATAGAAAATCAGCGGGATGAAACTGACTATTCTTTTTTTTTCTTCATTCACATGATAATAAAAATGTGAAAACCCTGGCATTTCTGGGGAAGAAAGCAAAACCGTGAGTATTTTGTTCATTAATTTACCATTCAGAACTGATTATTTTTAGAATTAAGGAGCTTAGAGACAATTTTACTACATTTCTGATTGATCAGATACTACCTCTACATTCTGTCTATTTAAAATACCTGTGATTCCAGCTGAAACAAGTACATATCTTGTAGCTCTTGCCCCAGTTTTTACTAGGAGTGCATTTGACCCAGTGGGGATTGATTTCAACAAAAGGTGCAGAAACAACTTCTGCACATACATATTTTATATATATATCTCATTTTATATATATATATGAATATAAATATGTCTATTAAAGATCATGCATCCATATGATTGTGTGGATACCAAGGCACTGTTCTTGCTTTTAAGCTGTTCCTGCTTTTGCCGCATATTAAATTAACTTTCTGTGGAAGTAAATTATTGGGATATTGTTACTTCAAAAATGTGTGCATTTTAGAGTATCACACAGGTTATAAAAGGAAATGCATTTACAGAAAACAAACAAGGCAGCTTTGGGGGGCTATTAATGCAGAGTTTCTACTTTACTCTGC